AGATGTGCTCCCAAGATGAAGGTCTGTAATGAAAGCACCCCAATATATGTAATTGATGGAAAAGCGAAGCTATGAAGACTTGAATTATACTTACAGTTAATCAGGGATGTAAAATCGAGATTCAGTGTATCCTAGGGTGCAAGCCAGGAAGACCTCCTGCTGTGAGGACATTTCCCCGACACATGCAGCTTTGCTAAGTTAGTTTGAAATAAATAGGGCAGGTGTAACTTTGAAAGGACTGGAAAGTGTCACTTTGTGAAGCAAGGTAAATGGCCACAGATAGTAAAGACTTGGTAATGGGTTTTTAACTGTTTCTATGAGCTCACTTCACGTCCCACACCTGCTCCCTGTATTTTCCGTCCCCAAGCCAACCCAAAATCAAAGCAAACCTTTGCCGTGACAGCCCTATCCACGCCCAGCACACAGCCCTCGGAAGGCGCTCACTAGCTGCTGAACAATGAGGAGATACATCCACATCAATTCTGCTGCCCCACTTTGCACCAAAAGGTCCAAGAAATCCATTTTCAATGGTTCTGCATCAAGTTATAAACTCGTAAGCGTTGAGAGGCAAACAGCAGTTGCTTCAGGGTTTAGCGTCGCACGCCAGGACAAAGTCAGATCCCAGAATACAGCACTGGCTTTTGCGGATGACAGGCTCAAGTCACAGCCTCCCGTTTCAGAGTCATCAAGCATCCTTCCCCATCAAGATAAGACTTCATCGTGCTGGTTGCAAAGGGTCTCAAACGTCTGTACACACAGAGCCAAAGTTTGTACTTCTGCAGACAAGTCAAGTCCCAGGAGGTGGAAAGAGGAAGGCAAATTCCGGGACAGGCAGAGGGCACTGTCCCACGTGCCTGTCGTGGAGGTGTGGCCATGAGCTAAGGAGGGGAAGGTGACAGAAAGAAGTGTCACTGCGAGGGAGCATGGCGGGGAGCGGGCTGTCTTAGGGAGCCATTCCGGCCACGTCTGCAGGTGGGAGAACGTATCAGCTCATGTCAGAAGCTCTTGAGCAGCTCCGAAAAGAGAATTCCGAGTTAACAGCATGTGAGGGAGTCTGGGCCCAACTTGAAAACATTTCTTTGTAAACCATACAACTTCCCATCGATGAATGAGTAGATCAACAAAATGTGGTCTATACACACAGTGGGTTATCATTCAACCTTAAAAAGGAAGGCGATTCTGACACCTGCTACAACACGGATGAGCCCTGAAGGCATGCTACTGAGTGAAGGACACATACGGTACGATTCCACTTATAGACAGTCCCTACGGGAGTCGAATTCATAGAGATGGAAAGTGGAATGGTGGGTGGGTGGCAGGGGCAGCGGAGAGGGGTACAGGGGATTGTTGTTGATGGGACAGAGTGTCAGCTTGGGAACATGAAAAAGTCCTAGACCTGCATAGTGGTGATGGTTACACAACATTAAGTACACAAATGTACTTAATGACATTGAACCGTTCACTGAAAAATGATTAAGATGGTAAATTGTATGTTATGCATATTGTATCATAATAAAGAATCTTTTGTAAATCTAATTTAAATAGGTATTAAGTAAAGGCATGACTTTTCAATTATACTCTTTTCTTGGGGCACTATTTTCATGCTGTGGGTTCTGTTAAAAATTTGCTAATTGTGCTTATGGATGTCTTGTAAAGGTGGGAAATTTGGAGAATTCCGTAATTATTCTAAGTGATAAAATTCAGAATTGCTACCGGCCATAAAAAAACAAATTACACAAATACTTTCCTTTTTAATAGGAATTGAAATTTAATACAAATGTATTAATTCATTTAGCTTAATTAAATGAATAATTAAAAAATAATTAAAATAAATTAAATGCTATTAAGTTAATGACTTAATAGTTAAATCATGAAATCATTCATTTAATATAAATTTAATTAATATAAATTAAATGAAGTTAAAACTGAATTCACGCCTATGAATTACACATATGATCATGTTGTGAAAGACATATTTCTTAACGCAAAGAGAAACATAATTTAGGAATCTAAACCTAGGTCTATAGCTTTACTCTTTTCCAAATTTTTAGTTATGGTGAGTGTTCGGGTCCCTGTAGGAGGACCACACGTGTATAATTCCCTACCCTGGTGCTTCATAGCCAATGTCGACAGTCGCTAAACTACTGTGAAAGAAGTGAGAGGGCAATGCTTTTATACACGCAAACTTTTTGGCCATCTCCCAAATCAGCCGACCTCAACACTATTGACATTTGGCACGAGATAATTCTCTGCTGTGGGAGGGGGTGGGACAGGCCGTGCTGCGCACTGTAGGATGTTTTAGCAGCACCCCTGGTGTCTGCCTTCTAGATGCCAGCCTCTCACACTCACACCCCCAAGTTGTGACAATCAAGTATGTCTCTAGACTTTGTACCCTGGAGGGAAAAAAATCACGCCCCAGTTGAGAATTACTGTCCTACATCGGGATATATTTTGGGAATCACCCATGTTTATCAAGAAAACCAAAAGGAACTATTAAGACAAACAACATATTTTGATTTGGTATAAAGAGCCAAAAGTAGTGAAAAACGTCAGAAAGGAAAGAATTCTTTCATCACGTTCAGGGTCCTTGACAGCCATCTTACAACTAGACTCTATAGCCAGCCACGTTCAAGCATTCATTCTTTTTTTTTTTTTTAATTGGGTAATTGAGAGAGGGGAACAGTGCTGGGGAATCGGGAAAGGGGAACAGACAAGTTCCTGTCCTTTTGTTCTTCAGTCTAGTTGTGGAGGACGTCGCTTCACTGGCCCACGTTGGTATTATCATTGCGCTCTTCCTGGGTGAGGCAGATCGGTCTCTGGCCTCTGGACGGCTACTCACGCTGGCTGCTGGCTACACACGGTAGCCCATGGCAACCCACTGCAGCAGAGGCTGCAGCCTATGCCGTCGCCAGTGACTCAGGGCAGCCCAGCTCCAGGTTGAGCTGTTGTTCAGCATCTTAGCTGTAAGGGGCAGTGTCACTGGCCCTCACGTGGAATCAGAATTGGGGCCCTGCTGCTCAGAGCTGGCGTCCCAAGCCAACTCGTAACCAACGCGCCACTCGGCTGGCCCTCAAGTTCCTCCTTTGACAAACCACTCTCTTCACGTAAGATGGTATCGATGCGGGAAGGTGGGTGGCACTAGGAACTCATTGTACTCTCTTCCCAACTTTCTGTGCATCTAAAGTTATTTCAAAATAGAAGGCTTCAAAAACTAACAGTGTCTGATTGATGACCCGATAACATGCGGTCTATTCGCATAGTGGGAAGTATTTGGCAATACCAAGGGATGAAGTACTGTGCCACATGCTCCCGCATGGCTGGACCTTGAAAACATTATGCTGAGTCAAAGAAGCCGGTTGCAAAGCACACAAAATTTAGCATTTCATTTATATGAAACATCCAGAACGGAAGTCGAACGGCGGTTGTCAGGAGCTGGGAGGGCCAGGAGTGGGAAGTGACTGCTAATGCGATCAGATTCTTTGGGGAGTGATGACATGGACTGTGGTGAGAATTGCACAACCCTGAGAATATGCTGAAAACCACCGAACTATACAGGTCAAACGGGTGCGCTGTTGCTCTGTGAGTTACGTCTCAATAAAGTTGTTGCCAAAATATGTCTGGCACACAATAAGTGCTGGGAAGTGCTTTGGTATGACTGACTCTTCTTTCTTCACCTGCGGCAGCTGGTTGGTTACAAGAGTCACCTTTGGTGCTCTTTCAATATACACGTTGCCCCTGCATTACTGATGAAGGGTGTATCCCTCAGGTGTGTCCAGGTAGACACAGGTGGCAGCTCTAATGCCATGAGAATCACAAGCAAAGTCTCCTGTGGACACCGTACAAGCAGGGCCAAGTTCAAAGTCCCTGCCTTTTCCTCATGTCTTTTCTGTTCCCCCTTCACTTCTCTCCATTCCAGGCTGGTTTATCAATCAATGCCCCCGCCCGCACCCCGCACCCCCCCAAAAAAATGCTTTCTTATTCCTGGTTCCTCACCTTTGAGGAACCCGTTAGAACCCACTTCTTCAGTACGCATCCAAATCCCAGCCGCCAGCAAACCCCACTCACATCTCCCTTCCACGAGGAGGGTCCAGCCTTTCTGGGCTGGTAGACCCTTCCTCGGAATTCCCAAAGCAGAGAATGTCTGCGGCATCCACGGGACACCCACCCACAGCACGGCTTTGTCCTGGACACCCTCTTTCTATGCACCCATAATGCCTTACTCCCCAAACCAAGACATATCTCATATATCTTTGTATATTCCACAATGCTGCACAGGGAAGAGATTCAAACAATGGTTATCCCAGAAGCTGAAATGTTTTTTGGTTTTTTTTTTTAATACAAAATGGCCTGGAAAGAATACTCTTAATTCGGGTGAGAAAAGGCCTCACTGTCAACGGGGTGAAGCAGTCAATATGGTGGCTTCGAACCCAGGAGGCTCTGTTCTCGGCGAGTCTAGACTCTCTACCCCAACACCAGTCCTCGTAGGGTTCAGACGGAAGGAAAACGCCTCCCCAGGGGCCTCCATCACAAGTCTTGCTGCCTCACGATGGTGCCAGACAAGGTGTTTATGGAAAATTCCGGCTGGTTCACACGTAATGACACAGCTGCCTGTCCATTTTCCAAACACATTCTGACAGGGGCATACAAGACAAAGGGGAGCCTGTCAGAAAGCTCTGTTGTTCGTTATAAATCCGCCTTCTGAGGAAAAGCAAGGACCTCAAATAAAGCAAACACACTTCAACAATCATCCCCATTCCCCTTCCCTATAATTTCTGACTTCCAGAAGCTAAATAAAATAAGGCGCTTGTTAGGAAGCGCTAACGCAACACGTTTTGGTTTTTTTCCTAGCAAAGTCACCTATCACAAGAACTCTTGAGAAACCACTGTTTCCAGTACGTACTGCCAACAAAGTAATATTTAATTTCTCAACACGAAAAACATGGAGACGTCGACAGGACATTCATGACGTAACACGAAATCTGTTTTACGACTTCACTTACTCAGAGCCAAATGGAGGCCACTTCCTTCTTCCTTCTAGGGTTTATGTTTCGGCCTCCTTTCTTCCGTCTTCCTTTACCTGGTAATGAAAAATACCCAGAGTGAGACAGCAGTGCCCGTGAAAACACTCTGAACCCGTATTCTTGGCCGCTCCATAAGCAGCCAGATATCTGAGTGAAGGGTGCCAGGATGCTGAAATGATAACCACGGCAGCAATGCAGGTGAATTTCAAGGCTTGCGTCTCTGTTTAGAGCATACAAACCCGTTCACACACACCCGTTCATCACTTCCAAGGTCTCACAACCCGCTGTGACCCTATCACTTCGATCACTGAAAAATCTACTCAGGGCTAACGACAGACGCAAGTCTTGCCCACCACCCATCAGGCACGCTCAGTGAACACACAGGTTGTTCCAGGTCCAGCACAACTCAGCTAATTTTTCACTGACGACCTCTCCTCCTTCAGTCTTGTGGAAAAAGCGGAAACGGTGTTCCACGGTGCTCTGGTATTAGGGGCACACATAGAATGGCTCTGGTCTTGGGGCGCTTACCCATCCTGGCAGTGAGAAGGGGGAAGTTAGTGATAGAAGAACAGAAGCATTCAACGAGCAAGCCCATCACCCAACGAGAGATCATTTCACATGAGCTATAACGCAAGTCAGACTGGGGAGCAGAACAGAAAGTGACCAGGGGTCAAGTTTATCCTAGGGGCTGGGGCAGAGCTCTGTGAGGTGGGAGTGCTTGCATGCGGGCGAGAGAGGCCAGGCTGCCGACACAGCAAGTGCAAATGTCCTGTGGTGAGAACGACCTTGACAAGGGGCAGGGGAGGAAGGCAGGCAGGTGGGCTGGGCGGCAGAAGGGAGAGCTGGCAGGACCCGGATCACAGAGGACTCTGCAGCTTATGGAAAGTGGACTACTGGGTGGAATGGATATGTGATGGGAAGGGGGAGAAAAGAACGGTGGACGGCGACCAGGTTCCAGCTTGGGCAATAACTTGGAAGGCGGTATCATTTCGTGGCATGCAGGAAGGCTGAGGGGAAGAGAAAGCAAGGCTTCTTTTTTATGTGTTAACTTTGAGAAGCCCATTAGGTCTCCGAGTAGAATGGTAGGCAGACGATTAAATACACAAGTCTGAGCGAGTGGAAGAGGTGAGTTACAGGTAAGCCTGTGAACCATCCTCTAACCGCCATCTTTAAAGCTAGGGGCTTGGGCGGGAGGAGCGTCGAAAGCAGGGTTTCTCCTCCTCGGCGCTGCTGACATTGTGGATCAAATCATTCTCTGCGGTGAGCAGCACCCCCGGGCTCTCCCCATGAGGTAGAAATCCAGCAAGCCCCCAGCTGTAACAATCAAAACTGACCCCCCCAGACGTTGCCAAGTGTCCCCTGGAGGGCACAATTGCCCTGCTGAGAGCCACTGGTCTGAGACTGCAGGACCAGGGTCAAACCCTGAAAGGAGACGGAGCCTGCCAATGAGACAGACAAGGAGTGTGCAGGAGGTAGGAGGGAGTCCAGAATGGTGGGGTGTCCCTGGCTTGTGGGGACAAATGTCTCTCAAAAATCAGGGAGTGCTTAGCAAATAATTGCTGCTGACAGACGAATGACAGGGAGGGCAGCGGATGACAAGGGAGGACGCTGTGTCCTGTGCACGTGCACACTGTGCGGGAGAAATCTAGGGAGACTTCCTGGAGGAGGCGAAGCTCACGCTGGCCCATGAAGTCAGGCGAGCAGGAAGGCGAAGAGGGTGCACCCTGAGTGGCGCTCGAGGCATCGATTTGGGGCAAGACGACGACACTGAGGTTTCTAAACATGTCACGATGCCCTCATGGTGCTCAGGAAAGAGCGTGCTGGCAGCAGAGTACCAGAAGGGTGGTCAGTGGGCCGAAGGGGGCTGCCCCACCCAGCAGAGCTTCTCCCAAGTGGTGCACAATGCACCGTACATAGCTCCACCCCAGCAGGAGTCCACCAGCTAACTGGGCCAGCTGGTAATCCTCCATCTGCTGAACCATGTGGGGTTGGGGGTGGGGGACCCATCTCAGGGGATGGGACCGGAAGTCAGGAAGCAGGGACCAGCCAAGGGGGAGCCCCACGCCCGGCCAGTATGGACCCACTTCACCGTTTGGGCCCCAGGGTTAAGAACAGCTGCAGAGGTGGAGCTGGCTCAGAGACCATCCTGCTGAGGGATACCAGAGCCTTTTCTCTCTGACCTGCGCTGTATCATCCTAACCACACCTCCCCAACCCCCCAAGAGCACTCCAGTCTGGACTACCAGCAACTGGGCTAAAGGAGCACCTCATGAAAACACAGTTGCTACGCTTCCTGGCTCTGTTTTCCTTCTCTCTAAGCTTGCAAGGGCTCGTATCACCCCCAGACACACGCTTAACTGTGTGCAAATGCTGACAAACTCAGCCAGATGCCGGAGCCACATTACTGCCCCCTCTGTCATCATGCTGCAGCGTTACTGTGCACATACACTGCATTATAGAAAAAGTTAAAAAAAACAAAACAAACAAAAACAAACCAAACCAGGAGAGCACAGTTATGAGCCTCACTTTGCTCCTAATTAATGACAAGCAGCTCTCTCTGGACCAGAGGTTCCTCAGCTGTGAGATGAGGGTATTACATTATTTACGACATTTTGTCCGCGTCAAAAAATCCGAGGAACCATTTTCCTGTGGACTTCCCTGTGTAAATGTCTAAGGGAAAACACTTGCAGAGAACTGAACCAAGAACTTGCAAAAGGGTTGCCAGAGGGAGGGAGGGAGACAGGAGGGTCATATGTCCCACACCCAACGGAGCACAGAAATATACCCAAAGGGGGCAATATCTTTTCAAAGTCGCTGTAACGGTGAACAATTCCACTACCGAAAAATTCGAGTTGCACCATCATGAAAACGTGAACAATTCTGAAATGTGTTTTCAAGAAGCCACTGAGCATGACAGAGAGAAGGTGCCGTTTCCTCCTGAGTCTGCTTCGGTTTTAAGTGAACCCTGAAATAATCAGGCTAACGGCCAGGGGCTCAGATGGGTATTGGCACATAACGGGGGAGTCCAAGTGCCCGACAATTCTGAACCACCTCACTGGCTGCAGGGTTCAAGTTCTGTGTCACGAGGCTTTGGTTTGCTGCCTCATCCATACAGAACAGCATTTTCGTATTTTGAGGCGACTCATTCAAACACAGAGTTTACATCCTTTAAATCAGTGGTTCTCATATGGGACTGACTTGGGCCCCCCAGGAGACATTGGGCATTGTCTGGAGACATTTTTAGTTGACAGGACAGGAGGAAGAATGCTACTTAGCATGCATGTAGTGAGTCCAGGATGCTGCTAACCATCTCACAGCACACAGCACAGCCCCACCCTTAGCCAAGAATCATCTGGCCAAAATATCACTACTGTCTAAGTGGACCCTACTAAAGTATCTATAATTTTACAGGAGGTATATCCTATATGATTTCATCTTCCAAACCATTTTTACTTCCAAAGGAATATACAGACATAGTTTTTTTAAAAAGTAAAATACAGCTGAGGCAAAGGACTCCTCTTCCCCTCCCCCGCCGCCAATTGGGGAACAGTGTGTTTTTCCAGGACCCATCAGCAGCAAGTTAAGTAGTTGTTTCAATCTAGTTGTGGAGGGCGCAGCTCAGTGGTCCATGCGGGGATTGAACTGGCAACCTTGGTGTTACAAGCCTGTGCTCTAACCAACTGAGCTAACCGGCTGCCCCCTGGAGCACTTTTTAGAGCGGTATCACACAAGTAGAAACATCCCCTTGTAGCTAAGAATGGGTTTTATTACACTTGGTGTATAAACAGGGCACTGGAGGTCCCCCTCTTTCTCCTGAGGGGAGAGAGGAAGGTACCTCCCAAAACAAAAGTTTGCATTACACATATAACATTCATAGCATAAGACAGAGGCAGAGCATTAAAAATAATAAAATTGGGACAGCCAAGTGGCGCGTTGGTTGAGTTGGCTTGGGACTCCAGCTCTGAGCAGAAGGGCCCCGGTTCGGATCCCACATATGAGGGCCAGTGACGCTGCCCTCTACAGCTAAGATGGTGAACAACAGCTCGACCTGGAGCTGGGCCGCCATGAGTCGCTGGCGACGGCGTAGGCTGTAGCGGGGCTGCCGTGGGCTGCCGTGAGTGGCTGGCAGCCGGCTTGAGTGGCCGTCCAATGGCCGGCGAGCAACTGCCTGACCCGGGAAGAGCACAATGATAATACCAACTTGGGCCAGTGAAGCAACGTCCTCCACAACTAGACTGAAGAACAAAAGGACAGCAACTTGTCTGTTCCCCTTCCCCGATTCCCCAGTGCTGGTTCCCACCCTCAATTCCCCAATAAAATCTTTAAAAAATAAAAAGAATAAAACTGACAGGAAAGGCAAATGGCAAACCCCTGACAGCAGCTTCTTGGAATGGGACCCTGATGGCTGCATTCAGGGAGCACCGCCACCGTCACCTGCTTCCGTCCACAGGCTTTGGCAAGCAACACCCCTTCTGTATAGTGTGTTCTCCAGAAAGGCACATCCGGGAATTCTCTGCGCATTGGTTTCTTCACTTGTTCATTTGTTCATTCATTCATTCGTTCATTCATTCATTCAACACATGGCACAAGCATAACAAACTTTCATTCATTCATTCAACACATGGCACAAGCATAACAAACTTTCATTCATTCATTCATTCAACAAATGGCACAAGCACAACAAACTGCTATCCAGGCACACTATTAACAATGACTGAGACGGGACCGGCCCAGTGGCTCAGTTGGTTAAGAGTGCGAGCTCTGAGCAACAGGGTCGCCGGTTTGATTCCCACATGGGCCAGTCGGCTGCGCCCGATCTGAGCTGCCGCTGAGCTGGTGAGAGCATGTGCTCTAAGCAGCAAGGTTGCCGGTTTGACTCCCACATGGGATGGTGGACTATGCCCCCCCCCACGACTAGACTGAAAGCGGCGACTGGACTTGGAGCTGATGGGTCCTGGAAAAACACAATGTTTCCTTCCCCAACTCCCCAACACTGTTCCCCTCCCCAATTCCCCAATAAAAATCTTAAAAACAACAACAAAAAACCAATGACAGAG